GTAGCGCACTGGTATTAGAGGTTGTTTGGGTTTTTTTTTTTCTTTATTATTTTATTTTATAATGGTTTACATACAAAGTTCATATACATTTTTTTCTCACCAGACTTTTCCCCTTTCCTTTACCAATTCCTCCTTCCACCCATCAAATTGTGTGACCCTATGATTCAGCCTCCCCCTTGGATCCTCGTACACATTCTACAATAGTATTTTTATACAGTATTTGTCTTTATGAGACTGAGTTAGTTCACTAAGATAATGCTCTACATTTCTTCCCAGATAGTTATTCACAAAATCACTGCTGCAGCATGCTGCATAGGATTCTATCGTGTAATGTACCATACTTTCTCAATCCATTCCATTTTGGTTGGGTATTTGGGCTGTTTCCATGTTCTTGCTATGGCAAATAACACTCCTATGAACATTGGTGTACAAGTCTCTGTTTGTGCCTTCTCATTTTCTCAGGGAATATTCTAACCAATGGGATACCTGAGTCATATGGAATTTCTATGTTCAACTTTCAGAGGAAACATCAAACAACTTCCAGAGTGGCTGAACTATTTTACAATCCCACCAATAATGTATAAGCTTTCCTATCTCACTACATCCTTGTAATACGTTTATTACTTGATGCCCTGCTAAACTTTGCCACTGCTACTGGGGTAAGATGGTATCTCATTGTGGTTTTGATTTGCCTCTGTCCTTTGTGAAAACTTTTTCCAAGTTTTGTCCATTTTGTCTTTTTCTTCTAGAGGCCCTGCAGGATTTTGTAAACTTTCGTGATGAGAGCCTTGTCTGAAATGGTATTGCCAAATATTTGTTCCCAGTTGGTAGGTTTTCTTTTCACCCTGTTGGAAAACATTTTTTTGTAATGAGCACAGAGATTTAACCTTTAGAAGGTCCCATTCATAGATTTTATCCTCTTCAGATTGTATATTTCTGGTTGGCTGTATTGGGCAGTCCCTTTATACCATAGACTAAGCCTTCTAAGCTTGGTCCCACTTTGTCTCTTATGAGCTTTATGGTTTTGGATTTTATTCCGAGGTCTCAGATCCACCTTAAGTTGTATGGTGTGAGATGTGAATCTTGTTTCAGCTTTCTGCAAGTAGCAGTACAATTTTGCCAGCACCATATATTGAAGAGGTTATCATTTTCTAATTTGACAGGTTTTCTTTTCTCATCGAATATCAACTGACCATAGATAGCTGCATCCATTTCTGGGTTTTCAATTCTGTTCTATTGGTTATGTGCCTTTCATTGTACCAGTACCATGCTGTTTGGTTACTACTGCTGTGTAGTTGGCTTTGAGTCAGGTAGTGATATGCCTCCCACTTCATTTTTGTTTTTCAGAAGTGTTTTGCCTATTTGGGTTCTCTTTCTCTCCAAATAAACTTAACAATTTCCCTTTCGATCTTGAAAAATGAATTTAGTATCTGTATAGGGATTGTGGTAAACATGTAGACTGCCATTTTCACAATACCGTATGTTCCTATCCATGAACAGGGCACATTCATTCTTCCATTGCTTTTAGTCTTTTATTGTCTTGCAGAAATATTCTGTAGTTTTCTTTGTATAGGTCTTCTGTATCTTTAGTTAGGTTCACTCCCAAGTACCTCAATTTGTAGTTGGCTATTATAAATGGCATTGCTTTCTTGGCTTCCTTCTGAGTTCTCGCTGCTACTGTAGAGGAATCCCACTAATTTTTGGATACTGGTCTAGTATTCTGGCACTCTACTAAATTGGTCTACTAGCTCTAACAGGTTTTTTGTTAAGTCTATGGGGGTTTTCTGTGTACACTATCATATCATCTGCATAGAATGACAGTTGAAACATCTCTTTGCCAATCAGAATGCCTTTTTACTTCCTGATGGCTTCATAAGCTTTATCCTCTCATGGCTAATTTCTAACTTTAAGGCACTGTGGTCTGAGAAGATACTTTGTATTATTTCAGTGTTTAATTTCCTGAGGCTTACTTTATGCTCTAATATGTGATCAATTCTTGAGAATGTACCATGTGCACTTGAGAAGAAGGTGAACAGAGTTTTAGTTGGGTGTAGTGCAAGGTTGAGTTGGATGACTGTGTAGTTTAAGTCCTCTGCGTCTTTGTTAAGTTTCTTTTGAATGTGTTAAAGCCTCCTACCACTACTGTGGTGCTGCTGTCTATTCTTCAGTTCTGTTAACTGCTGTTTTATGTATTTAGCAGGTCTATCATAGATGTTGAAGGGAGTGGGTAGAAGTGTATGGGTATCCTGGTGGATGGTGGAGCAGGGAAGAAAGTGGGTAAAGACATGTGTGCCAAAGGCAGGGACAACACTGATACTAATGGTTAACTCCACAATAAGGGATATATCTTTCATTTTTCTGTAAAATGCTTGTCTATCTGATACTTCTCTAAATCTGAACATTCAGATTAAGACAGACTAGGAAGAAGGATTGGCCATCCACTTCTGAAATAGCAGGCCCTTGAAAACCCTATGTACAACTGGAGACTAAGGTGCATCTGATACAGGCCATGGTCTTTGCTATCACTTGTTATGCATCAGAGAGTTGGACAAAGACTAGGGAGGATAGAAGGAGAATTGATGCCTTTGAGCTGTGGTGCTGGAGAAGAGTATTGAGGGTACCATGGACTGCTAGGAAAACAAATAGATCCATCCTGGAAAGGGTCAAACTGGGCAGCTCCTTGAAGGGAAAGATTCTGAGGCTCCGTCTAACATACTTTGGACATGTTGTAAGGAGGGACCGGACCTTGAAGAGGGACATCATGCTTAGTAGGGCGGAGGGACAGCGCAGGAGGGGAAGGCCCTCTATGAGGTGGATTGATTCAGTGACTAGGATAATCGGGATGGGAGTGTTGGAGACAGTACGATTGGCTCAGGACAGAGCAGAGTTTAGGGCTGTTGTACACAGGGTTGCTATGAGTCACAAGCGACTCCACAGCACATAACAACAACATCATTTGGTGCATTGATGCTTACCCATGCTAAGTCGTCTTGATCTACTCTGCCTTGAATCATTATATAAGACATTATATAATGTCTTCCTTATCTTAGGGTGATTTTCATTCTGAAGTCTATTCTATCAGTGATTAGCACTGCCACTCCTGCTTTTTTGTGGATGCCATTTGCTTGCTGTACTTTTTTTTTTTTGCAGCCTTTGATTTTGCGTCTATCTTTTCATTTATTAGATGTGTCTCTTGTACACAACATATTGATGGGTTTTGCTTTTTTATGCATTCTGTTACTCTTTTACTTTTGATTGCACCAGCATTATGTCCATCCACATTAAGTGTGATTATTGACAGGCCAGATTTTATGGTTGCCATTTTGCTGTGTTTCTTATTTTGTTATTTCTTGTTACTATAGTCCATTCACTTTTGTGTAGGTCTTCCCTTAAAATTCTTGCAAGTTTGGTCTTATTTTCACAAATTCCTTAGATTGTTTCTTTTCTGCATGTGATTTTGAAGCGCTTTGCTGGGTACAGAATCCTGGGTTAGCAATTGTTTTAAATTTCAGTATATGCCATCCCATTGTTTTCTTGCTTCCATGATTTCTGCTGAAAAATCAGAACTTAATCTGATTACTTTTCCTTTGTAAGTAACTCTTTGTTTTACTTGTGCTGCTTTCAGTATTCTATCCTTATCTTTTATTTTGGGGAATTTGACTATGATATGTCTTAATGTTTTCCTTTTTGGATATAGTCTACTTTGTGTTTGCTGAGCTTCCTGATTGTGGATTTCCTCATTTTTCATAATACTTGCAAAGCGTTCTTCTAGTACCTCTTCCACAATTTTCTCAGTTAGTTCTCTATCCCTCTCATATTCTGGAATTCCAGTCATAAGTATATTATTTCTTTTGATGTTATCTCACATGATTCTAATATTTTTCTTCATTTTCTTTATGTCTCATCTCTGATTTTTCTCCTAGTATGTTTCCATTGAGGTTCTTGTCTTCCAGCACACTCACTCTGTGCTCCATCTTTCGGGTTCTACATTTTGTCCTTCAAACATACTGGACACTTTTTACCATTTCCATCTTAATATACAAGATTGCATTTTCATGCCTTTTTTTTCTTTCTAGTACTGTGTTGGCAATATCATCTCTAACTTGTGGTTTTTTTATGTTCTTGTACCTCTTCCGGCTCTGTGTCTCTGGAACATTTGCTTTCTTGTAGGTTTCCATTGCTTCTTCCATCTTTTGCACCTTCTTATGTAGCTGTTCAAATAACTCTTCAATTTTTTTTTCCTGGTTCTCTACTTCTAGGTTATTCCCTTTATCTGTGGCTTCCATTGTCTCTTCCATCCTTTGTACTTTTATTCATAGCTGTTTGAAGGTCTCCATATTAACATATATCATCTGCCTTATTGACTGTGGGGTATTCATAAAGTCTCTGATATTCTCTGCTTGTTTGAAGAAGGCTTAATTTGTTTTTTCACAATGTTTGAAGCTGCCTGTTGCTTTCTTGACATTATGTGAAGTTTTTCTTGATAAGTGTTAGGTCATTTCTATTGTGTCTGCAAAAGCTGTTGCTGGTTCTTGTCTTTATAATATTACTTATTAGTTGCCAAGTCAAAATGTGATGAAGTACTCACTCCACTATAAGCCTTTTTGACGAAAAGGTGCCTTTCCTAAATGCCTAGAGGTTCTTTCTGTTCTGCACTGCAGCCTTGTATGAATCTTGCCTTGAAGTACTCCCCGGGCACCAACTCTATAGGCCTCCTTCATATATGAAGTGGTTAAGTGGTGCAAGATCAAGTGCTCTACTCAAGCAGTTTCTCATGTATCTTTTCTCCTAGAGCTTAATGTCATCCTTTGTCTCTGGAGTGGCATGATGTTAGAGATGAGGGCTGCCAGCTCAAGCAGCTTGTGTCTCAAGTCAGCCATCCTTATCTCTCAGAGAGCTACAAAAATCCCTTCCCTCTGCCTGAAGTTCTGTATAATAAAATATATTGTCTTGTTTGGCCACTGGGATGGTTCCCAAGCCACAGAGGCAAAAACCCCCAGATGTCTGCTCTGGAGTCAATGTGTAAAGAGCTGGCCAAGTCCAAGGCTGAAGTTGCCTGCATCGCCATGTATGAAGCAGATGTGTTTGTTGTAGGAACAGAGAAGGGACGCGCCTTTGTCAACGCCCGGATGGATTTTCAGAAAGATTTTGCAAAATACTGTAGGTGTCAGTCATTTAATTCTTAGCATTTCATAAATTCTAAGTAACAAAAAAAACAAACAAACAAACAAACCCCCAGATGGAGGGAACTAACCCTGGGAAGCCTCAGACCTGTCTCCCCACAAGCAATGGAGAGTGCTCACTCTTGGCACAGAGTCCCACTTCTCCTGAACCTTTCTGCAGTGACTTACTTCCTCCTTTGTCTCTGGTGTGGTGGGAGATCAGGACCCCCAACTGGGCTGCCTGTAAGCAGAGGCTTGTGGGTCAGCCATGTGTCACAGGGAGCCAAGAAAATTCTTTCCTCTGCCTTAAGTTATGCACACGAAAATCTCTTGTCCTGTTTGGTCCCTGGGATGGCCCTGCAGCTACGGAGGCAAGAACCCCCAGATGGAGGGATCTACAACCCCAGAGATGTCTCAGTTCTGTCTCCCCACAAGCAATGGAGAGTGCTCGCTCTCAGCACAGAGCCCTACCTGTCCTGCCTTCTGACCATTTTTTAAATTGTGTTGTTTGCCTTTGTGATGTTGCTTGTAAGAGCTTATTCATGCATACAGATTGAAAAGGTATGGAGACAAAATACATCCCTGACGGACTCCCTTCTTGATTTTGAAACATGTAGTGTCTCCTTGCTCTGTTCTGATGGCTGGACACAGAATTAAAAAGAACAATTACTGATATTTTCAATGAGTGAAAAACAAATTTGAATAATTACAGGACACTACAATTAAAAATCAAGAGGAACTTAAAAAACTATCTAAAACAAAGCAGATAAAACTAACGAGATATTATGGGGACTGGAAAAACAAGAAACCACATTCTGAAATATGCGATCCAAGGTTTCAGATGCTGTCAACATGATGGACACATGAACAGAGTTGAAGAGATGGAATACAGAACCAGTGAAACAGAACATAGAATTGTCACCAATGATCTGCTAGAGCAAAAAGCAGAATCAAAAAATAAGGAAAAAGAAGAAAACTTAAGAATAATGTAGGACACTATCAAGAGAAATAACATGTACATCATCGGAATCCAGAACAGGAAGAAGCAAGGAAAGACCCTGAAAAAGTTGTGGAAGAATTACTAGGAGAAAACTTCCCAGGCATAATGAAGAATGAGAAAATATATATTCAAGAAGCTGAGTGAACACCAAATAGAACAGACCCCAAAATAAAAACACCAAGGCATAACACAGTCAAATGTGCCAAAACTAAAGATAAGGAGAGAATTCTGAAACTAGCAAGGGAGAAACAAAGAGTAACCTATAAGAGAGAATGGG